TTTTTTTCTGGTTTTATTGAGTTTTCTTTATCGCAGAAGACATGTAATTTGATCGATATGACCGTATTTGTGTTTTCAACTGTCCACACTGATACGCTTGAATACGCTAGTGTGGACGCAGTTCAATCTATACGTTTTCACACCTATTGAAAACGGATACAAACGAAAACGCTTTAGTGTGGACGGGGCCTTATTTAATTGTACAGTTTTACAATTATAGCAGTGCGTATTGAATTTCAAAAGGAATCCGCTTTTTCGTTCGCTTTTTCCAGCTGCAATGGACAGCTTGCAGCTTGTTATGTTTCATGTGTTATAGTAGGGGGGGGTATGTTTTTGTGAGGAGAAGACGTAATTAGACAGACACACACTCATTGTTCAATTTTGTGCAGTTCCTTATTGATATTCTAACATTTTGAAGCTATTACTGCATTGAATCATGTTATCTTCATTTGTTGGGCTTCCTGTCCTTCTTAAAACATATACATAGCAATAATTTCCCATGTAGCCTTTCGGTCTCGCCTTTCAATTCTCCATGATGTTTGTCCTTACAGCGACTATACAGCTATTTCAATAAAGGTTGGAGAGGACGAGGAATGCACGACCGAGGGTTACTGTGGGTAWTTTTTATCACATTTCCCATRATGCCTTCTGTTCTTGAGGAGTAAATGTTGTCGTTCAAATCAAACTTAATGTATTTCGAATAAAATGCATTTGAATGACAGTAGTTAACCCCAAAACAAGAAGGCATTATGGATATGTGAAAACAGACTATGATTATTTCATGAATATATAAATACTTCACTTCATCAACAATTTATGAATGATCTATTAATGGAGTTTACTTTGCGGACAAATTCAAGCGAATCATGACATTGCAGAAGTCTTTTCCTATTTTCACACAAAATGATTAATAACTGTATGTATCCACGTAAACATTGCTACCTCAAACGTGAAGCAAATCGGCCATGTGTACTGATTCCTTTTGTGTCTTTGCTGACTCATTTTAAGTGAACGYCACGSAAGGACATCTTGACGTCAGGTTGTTTGTAAACATTCACTATTTTACGTTGTAATTTTGCTTCAAAGAAACATTATTTCATTGCTAAAATAGTATTTATACTTATAGCAAAATAATATTGTTCAATTGGATTCTTTTTGAGTTAGAATTAAAGTAAAAATTACAAATTCATTTTTTTAGAGTCCTTAATTCACAATCTAGATATGCATTACTGTTTGTGAAAGGACTTTGAGCCAAAGTCTTAAGCTTACGCTGAAACTGTCACTTCAGTTTTATTCATAATCTCGCTTGCCGACATTAGAAACCTCCAGCCCTAAGTTTACATGTCCTAAAAAGAGTACAACTAAAAAATATAACTGTTTAATTGTCAAGTGAAATTATTGTTGTTATTCAGTTCAGTGACTTGCAAGTGGAATATCACCTGCATATGACGTCACTGCACGCAATATATAAGCCGTGTAGCTATACAGTTAGTATACTGAACAAGCTGGTTGACGATAATGGCCCTCACTGCAGCATTTCTCGTTTTATGTGTGTTCCATACAGCATTAGGTCAGCTCAAATGGGTCGAGCTCAAGCCGAGCTCAGGGCCAAAACCGGCTGCTCGTCGCGACTCATCTATCGGGTACGACTCCAAACGAAACCAAATTGTCATCTTTGGCGGTAGGTCTGGGAGTACAAGATTCGATGATACATGGATCTTTGACTTAAACTCGACAATGTGGACAAAAGTAAACGAAACTCTGGACCAAAGCAACAAAGTCATCCCTGAAAAGCGATTCAGTATGGTGTTCGGCAACAAGGGAAATTATTTCTACGTCTCGACTGGCGAGGGGCCTGYCGGTACTTCCACCTACTACAACGACGTCAACCGCTTCGACTTCACCACTCAAAARTGGAAAAAGCTCGCAGCGAAGTCTTCAGTAGAGCCTGAGAAAAGGTATGGAAGCGGCGGAGGAGTTTGGCCAGCGACGGGAGATGGGTTATATGTAACGCACGGTTTTTCAGGCGTACGTTACTCAAACACCTTCAAGTTCAAGTTTGATACGCAGGTTTGGGAGAAGAAGTTCAATGGAGTAACCAAATTCGATTCAAGGTTTCCTTTTTCAAGATGCCTTCATGCAACTACTATGTTTGACAAAGATGAGTTCGTCCTGTATGGCGGATGCGTCCAGTAAGTGTCATTTCTTTGTTATTATTTCAAAAGTTGCCGTCTGTTCTTTGTTTATTCTTAGAGTCATAGTTTCCATCCGTCTGTGAAACAATTACTACTAGTCAGTGTTTAATAGTAACTATTAGGGTGTAGTGGGCTACCAAAAGGCAAAATCAAAATTGTGTTTGCCTAATTAGTTTGTCGCATGTCATAAGTTAAACTATTGGGAGCTAATAGGGGGTAATAGTATTTAATAGTACAATTCCTATTTCACAGWMGGATRAAAATGACTCTAKTGCCACTAYTGTAGCTATTSAAARTGCTATGTTGCCYGCTCTGTATCCAAATTCAATGTTGTAAAGTCAGTAAARCACTTGAGTAGATCTTCAAGACTTCTCCTTTTTTTTTTTTGTCGTTTTGAATATTACATACAATATTACTATTTTAAGTTACTCTAGCGAATTGTGCAGTGCGATTATCGCCCAACAAGTTTCGAAACTTTGTCTCGCGCTCATGTGCATTGATGACAGGTGAACGATATAGTCAAAACAACTTGATATTGTTATGCGAAAATCGCTCAATTTCTAAAATCTGCATTTTGCTGAGACTTGCACATTAGACTTGTCTCCGAAGTGACAAATTGCCCAATGTACACAGGCTTTTAGAGAAGTGTATTACGTACGTAAAATATAGTTACGCACATAGTAAAATTACTTTGTTTCCCGCCTTTATGGAAAACTATATCACTATACTTTCCTGGAAAAAAAATGTGCAAATAAAAATTCCCTCATCTATAATTTGTGCAATTTTTTAGAACAGAAGATTGGAAACTCTTGTTATTAACCTGAGTTTTATGTCTCCTTAGGGGGMCTGGTGTCAATATTTGTCCCGCTAACGATGGATGGAAGTACAACGGTAAAACCAATGTGTGGACAAAACTAGCCGACTGTGCATCTAAGCGTACTTATACAGCAATGGCCATGCTCCCATCCAACGACCCTAAGGTTAAAAGAGCAGTGCTGTATGGTGGGGATAGGGAGGACCCAGTAAGTATAATAGACTTTATAATATGGTTGAATAAAATTGTGCAATTTGATTGGCTTAAAGGAGTGGTATTTTATTCTTTTTTAATTCTTTCTTGTAGGTATCCCCTAACTACGAGATTGTTGTTTTCGACCCTGTCACAAACAAATGGATGAAAAAGAAAATAGAGGTAGGTGTCAGCGGATGCTCCTTCAAGGACATGCACAACATGCATATTTTTTCAAGCTTTTGCCCATGCGTGTTGTACAGCCCCTGAGCAGCAAATTTCAATAGGCCATTTGCATGATGGCGTAACTTTACTACAACTACCAGAAAGCCTTTGCGCATTATCTTTGTTATTCAGATTTTTAATCCCCTTAGYGATTAGTAAAACAATTGGAAGAAAGTGGGCAAAGCATTCTGGTAGTTGTAGTAAATGACGCCATAATGCAAATCGCCTATTAAGATCACTTTTATGAAAACATACTKTACTCCATAAAGAATTTCAATTAAAGTGCGAGAACTCATTTTATTGTACTCTAAGACTCTTTGGCGCCATTTCTAAACCAGTGTCGCCAAAAATCCTGATCAGCTTTTAACCACACGGGAAATGACTGTGACCAGGATACTTTAAAAAGCTTATTAGGCTTAAGTAGGAATTGAAATTTACAACTSAAGATTTCAATTGTCTCGAAAAATTCTCTTAAGGTGGTTTAATCCTCGTTGGCAGCCGCGTCTTAGTGTGGTGAAACAAGGAAGCGGCTGCCAAGGAGGCTAGTCATCATTTCCTCAGTAGTACAAGAAAGCGAATCAGCACCATTGATCAGTATATACGACTAAAACCAACTATTTTTTGATGATATGTTAGGGAGATGTACCAGCAAAGCGAATGAGTCAAGTGATGGTCACCACGCCCCAAGGAATCGTRGTTTTTGGTGGGCAAAGCACAAGGTAAATTATGGGATATCCACCTGTGACGTCATCTATCCGTCATTGTGACGTCATGTATCCACCATATTGAATCATAACTCGCATAGTTTTGGAGTAAATGGCATAAAATATTTGTTCATTCAGTGTAMAATTGTCTGCGATATTTCAGAATCGCTCGCAAAACTTTCTAGCCACCAGCAGATCTAAAATAGATATAAAATCTGAGAAGATATAAAATCGCATAATTGTGCCATTATTATGTAATGAGCATAGTTTTAAAGCATAAGCTTTAAAGAATCAAATCTTTCATCATGTCATCGAATCAGCATATAATAACTGGATGTAAGACTAGAACACGAGGTATAAAAAAACGTTGTCGGGGAGAACGGCGAACGGCAATTGTCGAAGGGAGATTGCACGACCGAAAGGGACTATGGTTACACTGTTTTGATAAACAAAATTTCACTTATTGGATTCACCTTGCATAGAAATGGAGTCTAAAAGGAGCCAATGTTTACCACAGACCATCTTACAGTACAAATCAATTGTTATTGCCTTTCAACAGGCAAAACCCATGGCTACTTTCGGTCGTCGCCGTTCGACCATTGACATTCACCACTTTATCCGACAACCTTTTTTGAAATAGCTATATACCACGAGTTCTGAATCGTTACATGGACTTACATAAAGGAAGAGAAGTTTCGTCCCCAACAGGAGGAAGCACTCGGATCCTGAGTCACGAATGAACTCCCTGTTAAATAGAACATCATTTTAACCGAGTTTTTCAGAGGACAATTTAGGACCTACAAACCAGACGATCTTTAAAGCATTTTTGTTAACAATCCTCACCATAAGAAATAGCAGTCTTTCAATTTCGTTTTCAGTGGTACACGTCTTAACGACCTCTGGTTGTTGAAAGGAAACGTTTCGGACGTCGACAAKACTGCTTCCCTACCTGGTTGCGTTGAACAAATGTCTACAACATCTTCCCCGACAACAACTTCAATTCTACATACATCGAGCACTAGCTCAACAATGGATAACTCAAGTTGCAGATTGTTTATACTCTTGGTTGTTGTTTGGAGCTATTTCATCTGATAACCCTGCTGTAGCACATGCAGATATATTGGATACTATCTAATGAGAATACCACACAATAAATTTATCTTTTATTATCATAACTGTATTTGACCTCTAAGACATTGAAATTAAGTTTCTGACTAGTTGTTTCAGCTTGGATATAAGAACAAAGACTTTTATCAGTATTTTCAAGCTAAATGTATGTTATGAGAATTTTTACTAGTGCATCTGACATAGTATTCTACCTTTAGTAATATTGCTTAGCATATAGGTAATTCTGCTGCATGTAAATGTTAATAATAATAAGTTAATATGTTATTARTTTACACCATACACTTTTCAGTAATGACAGTTTTTATGTAAATRTAAAGATGCTCAATAAATGCATGTTGCTTGTATTCATGTTGTATTTCGTGAGCATAGCAAGTAGCAGCAGCGCTTGGTGTTTTTCTAGTGGTGACCAGGGCTTACTTTTCCACAGACACGTGATTTACCTCCATTGAATTAGGTTGATATTCCAGGTATAGCAGTGTTTTCATTTCGTTTTCAGTGGTACACAGCTTAACGACGTTTGGTTGTTGAAAGGAAACGTTTCGGACGTCGACAAGACAGCTTCGTTACCTGGATGCGATGCTGTTGTCGCGACTTCAACATCTGCACCACCAACAACGTCAAATGCAGAGAAATCGACCATTGGGTCAACACCAAAAGCGACACCAAGTCTTAGTATCTCCAGCATTAAGGTCACACCTTCAACAACACCAAATACAGAGAGCTCAACCATTGGTTCAACGTCAAAAGTGACACCAAGTCCAAGTATCGCCAGCATTAAGGTCACACCTTCAACAACACCAAATACAGAGAGCTCAACCATTGGTTCAACGTCAAAAGTGACACCAAGTCCAAGTATCGCCAGCATTAAGGTCACACCTTCAACAACACCAAACCCAAACACCTCCAGCATTGGGGCAACGCCCAAAGCACCTGGTACCTCCAGTAGCTCGCAATATTCACTAAGCTCGAACAATTACAGATTGTTTGTGATGCTGGTCATTGTAATTTGGACCTTTTTAATCTTATAAGTAAAGCATATAATAATATAATATTGATTAATAATATATATAAAGGACAACTGCCTATACTGTAAAAAGTAGTTTTGAAAAAATCGCGTTGATATTTCATCGGACCTGCGTCGGCGCTTCATCGGAGGTACGTCGATATTTCATCGGAGTTACGTCGGCATTTCTAATGTAACCAGTTGTAATAAAGAATTTCTATTAAAGATAAACATGCTCTATATCTGTTGTATTCTTTTAATGASAGTAGAGCGATCACGATCACGTTTAGTCTCGTTCTTCTCAGTGCTTCGTATAAGGCTGGTGTTAGCCAGCCAATAGTCTTTCTATACCTCAAAAATTGCACCAAATTAACATAAAATACACGCCATTATWCGGGAGAGGTTGAAGAGACTTGCCGGTTKTCCCAGACCAAAATTTCTCACTTTTTACTTCGTCATTCTCACGGCCATCTCTCTGACGCCATTAAGAGAGAGGGTCATTTGAGCCYTCTTTTAACGCCTCAGTTTTTCTTGTAAATGATAAATATGCTAAAAATATTTTGTTCATTGCTTTCAGTGGTGGTGTRCTAAACGATCTCTGGCTGTTGAAAGGCGACGCTACGGACGTGCAGAAGACAACTACCCTTCCTGGCTGCAGTGATGGAATGAATTCATCTTCAATGACATCTCCAACAGTTTATGCTATTTTGTTTTCTCTGTTCGTTGTAATTTGGAGCGTTTTTGAAAGATAAACATTGTTAGAGTATTTCCAAACTCTTTTTAGACAGTTAGATAATCTCCAGTACAGTTCCCGACGCCATCTTGAAAGGTAGCCGAGCCTTGCATAAAAGTAAGATAGCAGTTGAGCCTGCAGTGACAGTTTTCAGCCGTCGTGCCCAGTGTCGATAACCCAGTGTCGATACCCTCTCGGAAACCGAAGGCCGAAAACTGAGCCCAGAAGTCTTTTTTGAAGTTTTATTGTWAGAAGAAACTTTGATTGTGAGGAATTTAGAGCTTTTTACAAGTAAATTGCATTTTTATCATGAATTTTTAGTCTGTTACCGATCATTCGTTGTATTATTAGTCGATAATTACAATAAATCACTTTAAATAAATCTTTAAATAACTTTAAATACATATCCTGACCACTTTGTATGCTCTGTTTCTCGCTCCTCTCCACAATAACGTTCGCTGGTCAACTTACGTCCCTATTCCCCCTCCCCCCTCCCCCTCCCCCCTTGCAATATCCCTATCTGCGCGCGGCCATATAACTGTCCTGTACGCATCCACTTGATATATTCCCGCCAAAAATAATCTGCGCCCACACGGTTTCTAGTGTAGAAGCGAGGTTGCCTGGCAACGACCATGTCAATATAAATACATGCAGCGAGTAAAGGGGAAAATATATAAATGATAAAATTATTATAGAATTTGACAGTAAAAGTGAATACTTTGCAATAAGCAAGATTGGAATGTCATTGTGCAACTAATATAAGCGTGGAAGATGGATTTATTTTGCTTTTACAAGTACTTTTAGTAAATAAAGCACGCCGAGATGCGAGACAAGCAACTCGTCTCCAGCCCAAGCGAAGAAGAACCTTGGAACGAGGTTGTGAGATAAAACGAAGGAATATCAAATATATATAGATCGTTGCCTTCTTTTTTAAAAATACGAGGCTTCTTAATTATTGCAGGGCAGCGTATTTGAATAAATATATTTATATAATTAGAAAAAGATGTTAAACATCTTTGTGCCATCACCATTCATCGCCATGACTTTGCAAAAGGTTTTCTGTAATCATATCGCAAAATAATCCATAATTATATCTCTGCGTAAACAAGAAACACCTCAAACGTGAACTGACCGGCCATGTGTATTGATTGTTTTTGTTTCTTTGCTGACTCATGTTACGTGCGCGTCACGCATGCATCTGTTGACGTCAAATATGGACTAGATATGTAAACATTGTCAAAAATAACAAGGGTTTTGCCCGGGAAAAACAGCTACTTTCTTGTACTAGATATTGATAAACATGACATTTCGATTTGTTTTATTTTATTTGCTGGCTCAATTTCTTCTAAAGGCCTGATATAATGTACTTAACAGATGTTTTTCTGTAATAAATTGAAGTTTGCTTTTTTCCGATCCTCTTGACTTGTTTTCAACTATTTGCACTTGCCGCAAGGCAACGTCTGAGAAAACAAAATAAAAATGATATCATTTTCTCTTTAGTGCACTCTCTTTTAACTTAWTATTCCGGCTCAGGGAAATCATTTATGAGTAAAGCAATACAAATCCTTGTTGTGGCCATTGTTATTTCGTGATTGACTGGCTGTCTCGGTAGATTAAATGACGTCACTCCATACTATAAAGAGATAGTCACCGCTCACTGAYCGTACAGTTTCACMATGGCCWTAACCGCGGCGTTTTTAGTCCTTCTCGTAGCTCATACAACTCTAGGCCAGCTAAAATGGGTCGAACTAAAGCCAAGCACAGCTACAGCACCGTCAGGTCGCCGTGACGCTGGAATAGGCTACGACGCGAGCAAGAATCAAATCGTTATCTTCGGCGGCCGTGGCGGCTCCGGTTTTCTCGACGATACATGGACATTTGACTTGACCTCGAAAACTTGGCAAAAAGTGAACGAAACAAAGGATAAAAATGGAAACGTTATACCTGAAAATCGCTTTAGTATGGTATACGGTAGCAAAGGGAACTACTTCTACGTGTCTACCGGAGAAGGAAAGATTGGAGGTACTATAAAGTTCTACGACGACATCAATAGGTTTGACTTCACTACACAAAAGTGGGAAAAACTCGAACCGAAGACTTCATTGAGACCTGAAAAGAGATATGGAGGCGGAGGAGGAATYCACCAGTCGGGAAATGGACTTTATGTTACGCACGGCTTCGCTGGCGAGCGATTTTCAAACACTTTGAAATTTGTTTTCGAGACGCAAAAATGGGAGATCAAATTCGATGGAACGAATAGCTACAATCCGAGTGCTCCTCATGCTCGCTGCCTCCATTCTGCTGTCATGACAGATGTTGATGAGCTAGTAATGTATGGCGGCTGTCTTGGGTGAGTAGGTCTTAATATCGCTCAAAAACTATATCATATCCTGTGTCAATATATCAAAGGACTTCGATGTATTGAACATGTTGAATTCCAAACAAGAGCATTGCGTGACATGGTTACATAACTTTAAAAGTTCAGGAAAAATTTGCCTGGAATTGTTATATTCCGTTGAATGTATCTTAGATCTTAGAGTGTTTGAGTTTTTATAGTGTTTTTTTTTATCAGATTAAAACATAATTTACTTACGCGTGACACAAGACTAAATATCGACTTGCGTGACAGCAAAAATAAATTATTAATTTTCATTATACCCCCCAACCTACTCCGAAAAAATATATTACATATATATTTTACTTTTAACTTTGCATCTAATGTTTGCATACAAAGAATTGAAAATAAAATTTTTTCTATCTTTTTTTACATGCAATTTTCTTCTAACTTAATTGATTATTCGCACCTGCTCGCGATTCGGTTTTACGCGAAGTTTTRACTACTAATGTTTCGATGATTGCTCAGCTGAGCTATAATTCAAATGTTTAAGAATTATACTTTGATCTTGCCAAAGCACCTTTAATTGAATTCTTAGTCTCTATAACGACTTCCAGTGGTCTAAAAAGAAAAGAAAATGCGTTGAAAAGAAGCTGGGTTTTTGTGTATTATAGTCGTGTACGAAGGAGCGAWGGCAAAATTTCTAAATGCGTTTAAACAATATTTCGTAGGTAAAATTGTATTTAATATTAAGGAAAAAACTTACTCGGTGACCTAAAATCGCCTAAACAAAGGATTCATCCCTTAATTTATCATATTCTGTATGATACACTGATTAAATAAGAAGAATAAAYAGAAATAAAGAAGTAATTGTAGAAATGACAAAGTGTTTTTATAGTCATTCGGAACTAGTCAAATTGTCTGACACGGAAAGCCCTACATCTCAAACAAAGCTTTACAAAATGATGAATTCGGTTCTTATTCAGAAATCTTGGAAACGGAAGCTAATAAAGTACGTGTAAGGACGTGTAAGGCAAAGAAACCTCTTGAATAATTACTGTCATAACTCGAATATTGAAAAGAGTGCACAAACAAGAACGAATAAATAAATGAGACAGATAGCGTCGGAGCGGCTTCGTTCTTACATCGGAGATACGTCGTTGCTATTTCGGAACTGCCTCGATGCATTTATGATAAAGATAGACAATGGTGCTTTTTAACAAAAATTCAAATTCAAATGTTGGATTTCTTTTYCAGGGGGGGTGCCACAGGAGGTCCTTGYCCATCSGAGGATTCTTGGAAATACAACGGAGACACGAATACATGGACCCAACTAGACCAGTGCGCTTCTCCACGAGTSTATTCRGCRATGGCGATGCTACCTTCAAATGATCCCAAGACTAGAAGAGCAGTTCTTTATGGAGGCAATGAGAAGAGTAAGTCAGTCTTAACGGTGAGTATGAGTGAAGAAAAGTACTCTTTAGTATATTTTCGTGTCCGACATTCAAACTATAACAGGAGTTAGGAACTGCGCAAAATTTATCAGGAGGAGGGTTGAGAATCCAGAGGAGGGGACAACATCTAATTCTATGTGCTCAAAGAGGGGAGGCAACGTCTAAAGTTAACTAGAACTTTAATTGGAAACTGAAAAATCAATGGTGTCAGATTCTGTGCTTTTGGGGCAAATTATAGTGGAAAAGTGGAAAAACTTCAAGTAAAGCGTGCCACGATTTGCGACAACTCTTTACTCATGAATAATAAATCGATAAATTTACGGGGGGGGGAGCACAGCATAATTTATTTCTTGTGCGAGGGGGGTTAGTAATTAACTTTTTTGATTTTTTGGCTAATAAATATTGCCCAGTCCCTTAATGAATGAATGGACAAATGATTTTAGTTTTACATCCAGTGTACAGTCTCTGGCCATGTTCAAAACCATGTTATGTATTTTGTTAGGTATCAGAAGCTGACAAGAATGAGATCGTAATACTTGACCCATCTACAAACAAATGGACGCGAAAGAAAATYGAGGTAAGTGTCAGCGGTTTCTATTCCAAACCATGCGCAGCTTATCCTGATGCAAGCTCGTTTATTTTCCAGGGAGATGTACCATTGAAAAGGGTCGGYCCTGTGATGGTCACCACGCCTGAAGGAATCATAGTGTTTGGTGGAAGTGCAGGGTAAATTATAGGATATCCATCCGGGACATCAACTGTATCTGACCGCCATTTTGGATTTTTAGATATGAAAGCTAACGCGTATTTTCCCCTGCATTTTCAGCGGGAAAGATGTGAACGAAGTCTGGTTGTTGAAAGGAAATGTTTCCGATGTTGCCAAGACGACCTCTTTGTCTGGCTGTAGTGGCGGTCTTTTTACCCTCGCAATGCTTCATGGTCTATTTATGTTCATTGGTTGGGGTGTATTATTACAGYTAGGAGCCTTYGTAGCTCGTTATTTCCGTCATAAGGATCCATGGTGGTTTAAGATGCACAGAGGCCTACAGGTAAGACTTCCTGCTCCATTTTTGGAAACCCTGCTTGCAATGGCTTACTGGGTAAAAATAGTTCTTCACTGTTTAAGCACGTTTGTGAAGTTATAAAACGAAAACAGAACAAGCTTGGGAATCTTACATGCACTGAATTCATGCATTGCAATGGAGGAAATAATTGGCAAACAGAAGATTTAATAATTTTAAAGACGGCTCAGGGAACAGTGAAGGCCGGAGACTTTTTATCCACTTTCCCATGATGCTTTTCGGTTTGATAGCCTTTTTCCAAGTGCATGACAACCTTATAGAACTTGTATACATGAGTTTATCATCGATCTCTCTTTCACAGGTTTCTGGTTTGTTGTTCGCAATTGCTGGCTTTGTCTGTGCTGTCATGTCAGTACCGTTTGATCATTTTAAGTTTGCACATGGTGCCATTGGTTTGGACATCATGATTGTCGGCGTAATGCAACCGCTGAATGGTTTCTTGTAAGTAATTGTAGGCTCAACTGGCTACTTTTGACTGTGGGAGGACTTATCAACTGACGATGATGTGATTTTACGTATTTTCTTTTCCAGTCGTCCTCACAAGTCGCCCGATGGCTCACGAACTTTAAAGCGAATTATCTGGGAATGGTACCACAARCTTGCAGGCCGTTTTGCTCTGATACTAGCCCTTATTAATATCTGCCTTGGTCTCTTCCTGGACGTGGTACCAGTAGGAGCCTGGGCCGTCTGGTATGCGTACTTATGTGTTCTTTGTTTACTCTATGTTGTCATGGAGATAAGACTCAGACGTAAAAACAGCGCCAGGACAGGAAATGCTGATATACTGGCGATGGAGAAAAAGTAGAAGCCTCACTAGTTAGTTTTACAGAAACTAGATGTAAATCATAAAGAGAATAATAATCTTAAGAACCGTCTGCCAGCGAGGCTACAGTGATAATTAATTCAAAATATTCTAATTTGCTCTAAGTTTGTTCACAAGTGACGTTAAGTTAGCTTTTATTTTAGTGTCGGTAAGAACTATGTTATGCTTGGAAAGTGCTTTTAAGTACGACATTTGTACGGCATTTTGAATGCTGAGATTCGAGCTTAATAGCAATAAAAACTCACTAATATAAATTTTGATGCACGAAATTATCAGAGAAAGTAAATTTGCTACTGGAAATTCCATAATTTCTTCATGATTCAAGATGGCRGCCATATTAGTAGTAGTACGTCTAATGCCTTCGATTCATAAAACATAATGTCGGATGTAAATAGATGCTGTTCCTGGTTTGAACTGCAGTTTCGACTCTAATATGTAATAAACAGTACAAATATGATCTGATATCACGGTTAATTATCGTAATATGAATGCATTTATTTGAAAATATACATACATTACATTCTAGCGAGGTGTGCACGATCAAATACATATACAATATCATCATAATCAAATGTAATAAAACCAATAAATAAAATAATAAATAATAGTTTATACTACACTGAGTTTGTTTTGAAATATCTACACAAAACCGGACTACCTGAAAGAAAATGAGATTAGAAAGGAGAATTTTCGAACTAGACGTTCTAATAGAGCGCGAACTCGTGCCCTAACAGTTTCGGGTAACTTTCCCTTTGCAAGGACTTTCAAGTCAAAGCATGACTGACTACTATCGATGTCATTAAACCATGAAGCGAGCGCAGTTGGCCAGCGTTCAAATGTTGCAAATTTGAAACGATTGGCTTCGACTAGACACGATAAAAATGCACCAATCCAGTTGCTTTGATTTAGAAAAAAAACCCTCAGTCCCTTTTAAGTTGTATTGGGGTGTATTCTGCTGTCATAATCGACTTTGAATCTGTTCACTGTGAAGCGACGGGATCGAGCTTGTGTCCAMAGAAGACCCTGTCGTTTCAGTTCTGTTTAAATAGTCTTCTATGTGTTTAATAGTCTGCAGGACTCGGGTGAATTGCTGGGTTTGTTTCCTTAACTGTGTGTAAACCTCAGTGATTCTAAAAAAGAAGAAATACTGTTAATGTGCGTGTGCAAAGAGAACAGCTTTTTGTAAAGGCCGATTTAGACGACACAACTTTTGCTTACAACCATCGCAAGTGCATGCAACCTGCGTAGGGATTTTAAACAATTGCTTAATAGCCTCACGAGTTGTAGCCATGTTGTAAGGATGACTTACGCAGATCGCATGCGATAGTTGTACGGAAAAGTTGTGTCGTCTAAATCGGCCTTAAAAGATTGGTCGATAGAATAAAGCATGCACGAACGAAAGTTAATATGGTATACTATATTAATAAATAATCATTTCTCTGTTCGAAAAACGAGACCAAAACAATCATCAAAGATCTTTATTTCATAAATATTTTTCTTCAATTTGTAAACAACATTACTGACTGCCTTTGATTGGCGAATATTGCCATCAATAATCAATACCCATAGTACTTTTCGGTCATCGTGAATTCCCGTTTGTCATTGACAACCTTTTCCAAAGTATCAACATGTTCACAATAAGAACGAGGACACTGTCTATTTGAGGTAAATACTATTGGTTACTTTCTATTCAATCAGTCTTACCGTTCTTCATGTTTGTCTAAACGAGTTCTCAGTGTCGTGTTTTCTTTTCCTTCTCTGTCACGGGCTTGCGTGACTAGACTCACCAGAAAATCTACAATCTAGGTAACGCAATTGGTAACACAACAAGTTAGAAGGAGATTCTACAAATATATGTTCTTAACATGGCCACTCTTGGTAAGGGGTATAGCGTATTGGCMATACGTAAGAGAATTGAGAAAACGGTACYAAGTTACGTTTCTGTTGCGTTTCCGTACCTATACTCGGCAACTAGTCTCGTACGTTTTTATGTCTTAGTTTTACCTTTTTTCTAACAGACGATTTTACGTTCGGGTACTCTGTGTGTTCGAACGCCTTTGTGCGTTTACGTAACATCTTGGAGAACCCCCTTTCTATTTGAATTAGACGCTCAACCTATAAAATACGTAAGATTTTACGTTGGTTTATATTCCCATCAATCATAAATTTACTCTAGAAGGAACAAACGTTCCAACATGCAAAGAATATCTGTGGTGAAATACATCTTTTAGATCTGTTAAGCAGATACGTAAAACGTGTTACGCAGCTACGCAACAATACGTAAGTGTTACCTGTCTCGCGTGGACTTCTAGCTCTGCGGAAGA